GTTTTATGGGTAGAGTAGTTTATTTTTCCTGTAATACTTCATTATAGTTTTTTAAGACAAAGCTAATTGAAAGGGGAGCTTAGCAGAGTTTCAACCAGGGATTACAAATAATTACTTTTTTTTCTTCTGTAGTTTGGCGTCCCCTCCAGCAGATGGCACTCTAGGCGAATGCCTAGTTCGCCTATGCCAAGAGCTGGCTCTGCAGCCAGCATAATTTCATTGAAAAATTAAATAACCTGTTTATGTTGAGCCTTGTTCCTTTTAGCTATTTATCATTGAGCTAACTGATATGTAGCATTAAGTTGCACAAAACTGGGAATAACAACAATGAAAAACACAAAATGTTTGGTTGTAATGTGTTCTAATCTTTGTATTTCTACCTTTAAATTAAAATAAATCAGGAGTTTAATACCCTAACCTCCTGGTTCTGGAGTTCAGTTTTATTAGTGTTGAAACCAGGCTATCGTGATTGTTTATAAAGGACGACTAAAAAACTCAAGACATATAAAATTAGTTTAACTTAGCAGCAGGAGGCTTTTATTTTGAAGGAAATACGTTGACTCGAAGTAAAACCTTCAAAAAAGGCTGAGATTTGTCTGACTTTTTTTTGCAGAAAGAAGATGTTGGCAGGGTAGATTAATGCTGCTGAAAATCTATTTATGAGTTCTCCATTTTTAAGGTTAAAAACTCACACAAATTTACCAATTCCATAATAATTCATTTATCTCTTTCCTTAGTGTTAAATGATTTAATACAAACATAAGGGATCCTTCAGATTTTACGATCTTGTCACTAAATGACGACGAGATAAAAATCCCTTAAAGCTGAACAAAAAAGAGCAAATCAGTCGACTGAATGTGATTTGCTGCTGATTAAATGTTCAGTTTGAAGTCCAGCAGCACAGGGAGGGAAACTCTTCCTGTTGCTCTCTCCCTCCTCACCTCCCTCCAGCTCCTCCCTACAGATCTCCTAGCCCTGCCTCTAGTTCTTTCACTCCAGTACTCCCTGCCTCTGCACGTGTAGCGACGCGTGCACGTGGCCGTGGCGTGTGAAGCGGGGAAGAGATTAAAGGCACACAACTGCAAACACTCTGCACACTGCTCTGCCTGTGTCACCCTCTCTCTCTCTCTGGTTCGGCTGTGTTTTGACCCTGCTGCAGATTAAACTTTCTGCTGGTTAGGAGTGACTGATTGCACTGTACCATCTGCAGTCCATAGATCACATGCCGAGGCTACAGTAAAAACCACCTTGTCACAGCTGTGAAGTTGACTCATCAAAAAAAGAAAAAAAAGAAATAGGAAATAAGCTCAGGACTTTCTGGATTGTTGTTCTTCTTCCTGTGCACAACTTTTTTGTTTTCTGCGCTTCTATTATTTATTTTATTAAAAGAGTTGGTTCTTCAGTTTGACCCTAGATCTGAGGAAGAAATGCTGTGTCACTGTAAAACTCATCTAAACTCAAAGAAAACTGAATAGTTTGTTAAGGGAATGTTAGAGACGCCACATAACCTTGATTGCAGATCAAACCAGCTTTGGATAGCTGCTCGGTGGCGACGTAGGACATTGTGTCCCTTTAGGCTCGTAAACTCTCCAGAACTTTGTCATGATACCTGCCACTAGGCCCTGGGTCTGAGTCAGGTTTGCTTACCGTGCAGGCAGTCAGTTCCTCCGGCGAGACCCTGCGGCTGGGCCACCTCCAGGCCGATGAGGGACGGGGACGAGGAGGACGAGGGCGAGGAGGACGAGGACCCCGGAGGGGAGGAGGGCGGTAGGCATTGGGAGCTCTGGTTGGGCACCGCCGACTGCGAGCTCTGCGAGGGGATCTGGGCCGAGCTGGAGCTGTTGTTGCTGTGCGCGCTGCCCATCCCGTTCTCAGTCAGGAACTCCTCCAGGTCCATGTACTGGAGCTGGAAGAGGCCGCTGTCCGCCTGCAGGGTGCGATCCCACAGGAACTGGTTGAAGTTTCCTCCATTCCCACCTCCTCCTCCTCCTCCTCCACAACCGTTACTGCTGTTACTGGTGACCATTCCATTACTGTTCCTCAAGGAGCACACTCCCAAAGAGTCCTCATCAAGGTCCAGTCTGTCTTTATCTAAAGAGAAAACAAAAAACAAAATTTAAAGTGTGACATGCATATACATTAAATACAAAACACAGAAACCATTGTTTGAAATAAAACATACCCATTTTGCTGCATAACTGTCGTATTTTCTTTTGATCAAAGTGAAACAGGAAGTGACATCAAAGGGGGAACTCTTTAAGAAAGAGAACTCTTTGTTCTTTGATTATTAGAATAATATTTGAACTCTGACTCTTCTTCTACTCTGATAGTGACTCAAAAATCATCAGATTCTTCTCTACAGTCTGTGTTGTTGGCCATTGTAGCAATGCAGACATTCCCCTTTGACATCACTTCCTGTTACTTCACATGGGAATATCTCCACAACTGCATTAGCTGCATTCAGTTTTTTTGCACTATGTTATCTTTCCAAAAATGCATTCATATTGATTACAAAAATTCGATGTCACGTGCACTTTAACTTTAGACGAGACTTCATCAGCTGTAAGTACACGAGATGAGACGTCCTCCAGAGATGTTTCAATCCCTGGCCTTTCATCGCTTCGCAAATTGTGCAAGGACTAAAAACGAAGTGGCAGGTTTATCTTTAAAATCCCGCTCTCACAGATGGACCAGATGGTGCCTGAGCTGCAGCGTTGAGGCGAGCGCCAAAAACCAGTTTGTTGTCGTAACGCAAAAAAAAAAAAAAATTAAAATAAAAACCTTCCAGAAAGAATCTCATATTAGCCAAGGAGAAGCATCAAAAACACTCGACTGGTTTAGGCAACGGAATCGAACCTAAAGCATCTCCCTGCAATCTGGAGCCTAAACTTTTAATCACGACAGGGATTATAATCCAAGGGAATAACTCGTCAGGGTCACAGAGGAGGCATGTGCAGAGCCGCATGAGACTCTTGGAGGGGAAGTTTGTGCGTTCAACTGTCAAATGTTCAATAAAATGAGAAAAATACAAGTCGTGTACATTTTTTTAGCTCGTTTCTCACCTTTTGTGTCACAAGAGTTCTTCAGACGGTGGTCCCCCTTCATGGGCTGCTGCAGGAGGGACTTCAGACCAGCCATTGAGTTGACGTGACCCCCTGTAAGGGACTGGGTACAGCTCCCAAACTGTGGGCTCGCCCCGGCTGGAAGGTCAGGGGTCGGGAGCTGGGAGAGCTGCCTGGACATCTCAGACCGGCGGCGGCGAAGGGTCTCTCAGGCAGGCGGACAAACTGGGGGGCTGGTGGAGGGTCGCTGCAATCTGAGCAGAGTGCCTGCTGATAGACGAAGTGAAGGCTGCAGAAACAGGCGAAAAGGGGGGTTTGTAAAGAGGGGGTTGGTGGACAAACTTTTACACTGCAGTTAGTGTTTCTCATGAACAAACAACCAGCCTTACCTTTCAGTGGCTGAGATCCTTATTTTGTTGTAGAAATATTTTCAAAGTATTCCATTGCTGCAGCTTGAAGGACTGGAACAGACAGTTGGAACAAGGATTACCATGACAGCTCCGCACAGTCACGAGGAACAAACAAAAAAATAAAAATAAACCAAAATAAAACAAATAAATCAACTCACAAACTGTGAAAAGTAGGCAGAATTAAGTCGTCTGGAGATAAAATCAAAAATGGATATAAAAAAAATAGATCCCCCTTTAAAAAAATGGTTCCTCCGTGGAGAAAAAAAAAGAGTGTAAACACACAAAAAGAAAACAACAGGGATGACAAGTTGCTGCTTCTCTCTTCTGCTGTCCGTCAGTAGTGAGGAGGAGGAGGAGGAGGAGGAGGGAGGAGGAAGGGTCGTTTCCTTTCTGTCTAATTATTTTTTTATCCCGGAGGAGGAGGGGGGTGCAGCAGTCACGGGCTTGTGTTCGGGCTGAGCGACGTCCACGTCCGAGCCGAGCCGTCCTCTCTTACCCCCGCCTTTTCTTTTTTTTTCTCTCTGTTCCTCAGCTGGAACGGACACGGGCAGTTCACGTGACGTCACACACCTCGCGGAACAGGCGCGAGGAGAAGTGGGCGGGGCGTTAATAAAAAAATAAAGCCTCCGGGCTGTTTCTTGGCACGCTCAATATTTATGAGGCACACCTACTCCTCCTCCTCGTGCGTGAACACACATTCCTCGAGGAGGTTGTTTGTTTTGTCTGACAGGTACGGTCACCGTGATTTTATTTTTTTTTTATTTTTTATATCGTTTGTCAAGTTCACGCGGCTTGCGAGCTGAAACATTCTCTCCATTTAAAAGTGTTACTCCAAATAATTATGTTTGATATTAAAGGTTTAAATGTTAGGTTTAGTTCTCGCTGAGCAGGTTTCGGCTGCCCACGCTGCCTGCACGGCTTTTCCAGTTTCCTTGTAATCCACGGAAAACGTGAGTCTGCCGTTCTCCTTTTTTTTTTTTTTTTCGTCGAGAAGGAACGCTTCAGCACGTTGCCTCCCGGTGTACAATGGCTGTTCCAGCTCACGTGTGTCAGGCACGCGGGTAAACAGGCCAGTCCGCTGGCTTGCTCCGTCGCCGATTGGCCACAGCAAGTTAGACGCTCCGCCCACTGGAGCAAAGCCATTGGTCAGAAACGGGTCAAAGAAGCCCCGCCCCCTCCTCCCTCCGCCGGCTGGGATTCACCCCTCCCTCCCGTAGTCAGTGCATGCCACTGCCGCGTGAGACCAGTCTGAAAGGCTAGGAAGTGCCATGCGTGTCTGTCTGCCGAGCACATGAAAAACGAAGCGCGCGCCACAGGAATTTACCTCCGCTTTCTCTGCTGTTAGACACACAGAGCTTCAGGGAAACAGAAAGAGGAATAAGATGACAAAATATTTATTGAATCAAGTTATATAACTGTGTTTTATTACACATTAAATGTACTTCTGATTATATTTTTGCCCAGGATGTAGGACAACTTATAGTAAAAGCTTACAAACCTATTTAATACTTCGCTTTGAAGTAGTCAGATTTTATTACAATCTTCTTGAATAGCTTCTCTAATCATCTCTAATAATCTTCTATAGCTTCTCTGGAGCTACAGAAGTCCTTTCAAAGTTTTTATTCCAGTCCTTGTAGCTGACAATTAACATGACATGGCATGTTCAGTGGCACCACGGGGTGGGGGTAATGGCCACCACCACAAAAGCACACACACACACACACACACACACACACACACACACACACACACACACACACAACCTCTGAATGATGTTCTGCACTCAGTCGTTCACATATGTACAAGCTCAAAAAGCATTTTCACATCCAGTTCAACCCCAACACTGCAATGCATTATTGAAGACACAGGCGTCACTGTCTTCCAGCAGCTATAAGGACAAAAAAAAGAAAATAAAACAAAAATAAAGTAAAAATCTGTCATCCCCCACTGCCAAAATGACTGTTGTCCCCCTCTTGTTGCAAATGATGCAGAACTGTGCCGAATTACAAAGAACAAGCTTGACTGATACCTCCATCACTGCTACTGAGCCTAAATATGAGGGGACAAAACAGTTTATTTCCGGACCAAAAGGCTGTCAGCGATTCCTTTAGCTTGTCTCTGTGTATTCCCTCTATTATGTGCGCTGCCAGCTGAAACAAAATCAGAAGACAAATCCCAACAGCTGGCAACGAAAAAAGAAACTATTGTTTGGAATCATGTGATGCCGAGGCTTCTGTGCAAGCTGTGGGGATTGGGAGTAGAGGTTGCCCACCAGGTGCTTTCTGCAGCCAGGTTATGCTTTGAGCTTTTTGGTTGAAATGTTGCATGATTTTTTTATAAACTTTTTTTTATGTCACCACAGGAGTATATGCACTGCTTAGCACCATGTGATGTCTGTATAATGTCAATCTATCAAAAGCTGGATCAGAGGCTTTTGCCGCGTGCTCTTTGCCCTGCAGCAGTGTAGAAATCCATCATCCAGCGTTTGTAACCCAACACCCACTGTGTTGTTGTTGGTCCTTCATAATGGTCGCCACTCAGAACATTATCCAAAATAAAGCCCATGCATATAAATAAAGGCTAACAAAACCTGAATGATGTTAGATGAAAATGTCAGTGTTTTGACCAAGTATGGGTCTCTGCAGTGCATAGAGGGAGTTTCTTAGCCAAGTGGGTGGAGTTTGGCAAAACTGATTGGTCCAACTGATGTGCCTTGTAGGGTGAGTTAGAAGATGAAGAAATGGTTTTAGTAAAATTATTGTGAACATAGTATAAATACGAGTTATTGACCGTCTATAGCAGGGTTATTTAACTGGTGGCTCGTGGACCAGTGACTTCCATCCGGCTTGCCAATGAAGCAACACCTCAAAAAACATTTATACAAAAAACTGTTAAAATGTATGTTTCAATAAAACAGAATAAACACATTTAAAAGATAAAAGATAATACTGTTACATGATGCAGTGTTTCACTTACCATTAATGAGCAAACAACCCCTGTCTGTGTGTGATGTCCAGTTCTCTGAGCTGTTGGCTTTGAATAATGTGGACTCCAGAATGATTTAGTTGAATAGCCCTGGTCTATTTAAAACAGAACAATGTCTCAAGTAAAAGTTACGAACATGTAAACATGATTTATTGACTTTAAATCTATTGTGAGTAGCACTTTCCTTTCTCAAGTTAGGACTAATGTTAAAATTCACGTAAAAAAACTGTTTTTTCCAGGTGTACGACATTTAAATTTGGTGTGACTAGCACCAACCTGTCTTGAGTTGACTAAAATTAATACATAAAGTTTTTGGTGCGTTTTGATCGTTCCGACAGAGCTGCACATCTCTCTTTAACCAATTGAATTGTTATGGCTTCTTCAAACTCCACCCAAAGTAGTCAATCTAACCAAGCATGTCTTTAACAAACTCCTCTCATAAAAATCAAAAAGACCAATCATGTCTTTGACAAGCTCGTCCCACC